GGCTGGTGGTTCAGGGGCAGCTGGAGCCGGGCCGTGGGGCGGTGGGCCGAGCTCTGAGGCGAGTGCGGCCGGGCTGTGAGGGGACAAGCCGGGCCGGGCCGTGAGGTGAGGTGAGGTGAGGTGAGGCGGCAGGCCGGGCTATGAGGCGGGCTCCGCGGGAGGCTGACGGCGCTCAGCGGGCAGCGGTCCCGCCGCACCCCCGAAGGAGGCCGGAGCAGGTCCCCCGGCCGAGGCGTGCCCCTGGAGGAGCCCCCCCCGCTGTCTCTGGGAGACAGGCTTTACAGCCCAAGCGGAGCGGAGCTGAGAGTATTGCAGGTGGTTAAATAAAAGCCTTCGCTGGATATTAACTGGGAAAACGCAGGACTCGACCACTTCCTCTCCTTAAAGGAAAAAAATTTATCATGTTCTAGTCTCTCTCCTGCCAGCTGTTGGCCAAAAGGGAACTGAGGAGTTATGAACAGGGAGAAGTAGCAGACTTGAACTGAAACGCCCTTTTGGTCTCAATTTGCGGAGAGATCGGAAGTCACAGTAATGAAAAAATAGAGTGTGGAAAATAAATGAGTGCAAAAGACTGGAGTTTCAGACTGCTTGGAGGACAGGGTGTAAGTACCTCAACATAAAATGCTGGCTGGCGCTGGGTGTGTTAATAAAGCCGTGCACGGTAAAGGCTCACACTGTGAAATTACTGCCAGCCGTTCACTACCTCCCCGTTGCAGCAATTTCTGTTTAACTGGGTGTTGTCTCAAGCTTCTTCCCCGTGAGCATTTCCACCTAAACGATGTCCCGTGGCTACTGCCTCTCAGGGTTGGATGGTCCTCTTTTGCCAGGCAGCACTGGCATTAGCGAATAAACCAAAAATAGCTGGTTTGAACAGTGTGATTGTTATTAAAAATGGTATCTAAAAATACCCGCTTGAAGACAGAATGCATCACTGAGTGTATCGAGTTGCCTGACAAGTTACTTGCAGCAGACTTACAGCAGCATGTGTCAATAGGGCAAATGGTTCACTCATGGTTCACTTGATCCTAGACACGGAAATGTAATTCATCTTCTGTGAGATTTTTGTAATTCCCATTTCTCCCTGTCAAAAGAGCATGTCCCTGGATGGTGATGGATGGATTTGTACCTTGATCTTACATAGTTTGCACAGCACATTTTACACGAAGTGAACAAAATACATCCAAACTGATGGTTGAAAAAACCCCAGAAATAAGGTGTAGTCATAGGCGTTGGCGTTCTACAGTACCCGTGGCCTTTTAACAGGCTACATTTCTGCTCTGCATTGTCCCTTTATGTTTGTTGTCACTGCTCACAGTTTTAAATTCCTCGTGAAATGACTAAAAGTCATCTATGTGGAAGTCTTCCCCACGCTGGCACGTCCTCCTGCCGATGGAGCATTGGCAGCTTGTAGCTGTTTTCTCCATAAATATAATTACAAGCGTGTGGAGCCGTTCTGTTAGGCGGATAGAGTTAGTTTTGCTGTATAACGTAAGGCTTCTAAATACATTTGCTGTTGTCTCTTTGAAGCTCTTCAGCGACGTTCAACTGCCGGTGGGTTTTTCACTGGAGTTCAGAGCCACCTTGCGGCGGCCCCGCCGGCCTGGACACCGCCTTCCCTGGAGCTCCAGAGCTGGAAATCTCCACCTCTGGGGTGAGTGGCAGCAGGAAAAGCTGCAGCTGCTTTTGGAGATGGTGAGAGGTGCTGCTTAAATGTGCTTTTTGAATCCGTTTTTTGTTTGTCTTCTGGGCGGCACAAAGAATCATCCCTGGATCTTGGGTTTTGTCTTTTCCTGAGCAAAGCGCTTCATTACATGGAAAAAAGAAACATCCAAATGAGCAATTATGTTGATCTGTGCTGTGCCGTGAAAGGTAGGGAAATAGAGAAATTCATTTCAAAGCACACGGCTCTGTTGTTCACCCAGAGTGCAATTATCACCATGCCTGGGTGTAGAGAAAGCAAAATAAATGGTCCACGTTCATCCTCTTTAACTCTTAGAATTCAAAGCGGAGTGGCCACATCCAGACTGTCTGCTGGTCCCGGACTATCCTAAGGAAATACTCTGCAAAGGTCCAACTAACCCAAGTCAAACCCATAGCAGGGACTCTTCTTGTAATTGAACAGTACAGATATGGTTCCATCACCCAGCTATGGTCTGGGCCATAATTCCCTAATTTTCTAGTGAAGTCTTGCATCTGCATCTAGCATCTTCCACACGGGCTGAAGGCAAAGGGCCTGATGTTTCATTTCTCACCTTTCAAGAAAGACTGAAGCAAAGGCTATGTAATTGCTTGACCTAAAGTTTCAAATGCTTTATTTATTTTTTTTCAGAGGCTTTATATCGGGAGACCCAGCCTTGTGACTCACTCGGGATGACATTGCGCTCTTTTCACTGTCCTAGGGTACACTCCTGCAGGGAACATCTACGTCACTGTGGTTATCACACATTTATACTTAAATGTGAAATATGTGGAACTTGATCATGGCCTGGGTTTCATACTTTGTGTAAATTTGCTACCTGCCACCTTTCTCCTGCAGTGGATTTAGCCCGTAAATACCAGTGCACTATGTGGTACCTACTCTGAGCTGTCTAAGTGGAAGTGAAAAGACCCTTAATTTATATTATCTTCCCAGTTAGATATATTTGCTTCTCTTCTTATTTCTTCAGCCCATCCATGAAAGCATGGAGTGAACCAGCTTCAAGAACAGTGGAGATCAGGGGCAGAGCTGAGCTGTACACAGGAATACTCTTCTCTTCTTGCCTGGGTCAGTGCATCAGGGAAAATGGGAATCTGACCAGCGTGGCAGCGCTGCGAGCGCAACAGAAAGAGCACTGCAAATGAGCATGGTGGATAATAATCTGTGGAAGTGCTTATGCTTCCTTCTTGGGGTGGTCCCCGAGAGCAGAGGCGGAAAACCTGGGAAGAAAATAATGAAAAGAGACTCTGGGATGAGGTGGCTTTTTCTTCTCCTCAGGGAATTTTGTACAGGACCGATTCTGTATTCAAGCATGGTCGTGGTCCAGAAGGCACCAGGGAATGTAGCCAGCTCACGTATTTCAGGGGTGAATTTGAACTCTATGTCGTAACTTTTATATCTTCTGATCAAATCTGCATGATATGCTAAACTGAACGTCTTATAGAAAGCTGAAACTTCACTTCCAGTAATCCCTAAATGTGCACTCTCTAAGCAGAGCATTAGTTCTGCTGCACCACATACATCTGTATGATTGATGAAGAAAGTATGAACGAGGAGAAAGAAGACACCACTTCTTAGCTTTCGTTGCTTGTGCTGGTGGTTTTGAGATTAAAACACAGCCTTTTGTTTTTTACTTGATTTAATCCAATTGGCATTTTTTGTTGCTGAGAAGACAATTCCAGTCAATTACTGGAGATTGTTTCCAGATTATGTTCCCCCTTCCCCCCTCTTTTTGCTAAACAGATTTTCTAAAGGGCATGTCTGTAACTCAGATAATTTTGTGTTCAAGCATAAATCTGTACCAAAAGCGTGGAAGCTCGGTGGGGAAGGTAATTTTTCTCCTTTTTGTCAATAAGTAGGCAAGTGAGTACATTGCCTGCTGTGGCTGAACGTGCTGAGGGAGCCGTGTGTGCCAGTAATGGCATCCTGAGTCCCACACACCGACTCCTAACGCTAGCAACAAGCATCCTGCAGTCCTCATGCAGGCAAAGCCCCTCGGTGAAGTAAGGAAAGCAAGAGCCAGCTAAATATGAGCAGTTTACAGGTTAGTGCTAAAAAGCTCTGAGTAGCTGCGGGGGGACAGGCAGAAGCGTTAAGTGTCTGTCTCTCTGAGCTGCTGAGAGTTTCTGGGACGTACAGGAACCAGGCCGCTTGTGGCGTGTCACAGCAGGTCCTTTGCTTTCTGGTGTCCCTGAAGAGAACAGAATTCAACTCTCAGGTCCCCTTGTGATCAGTGCTCTCAGCAGAGAAGCCAGATCCGGAAACTGGAATGCCAAGGCACAGAAAGAGAAGGTGAAAAAGACCTGTGTATTTTCATACAGAGGTTTAGGCTAAGTAGAAGGCAGGTAAAAGCACGTCATCCCACACAAGAAATGCTGTATGAGACCCACTGGCACCACTTTTCCAGGGAATAAGTGGGGCAAGTCAGAAGCTGACAACTTTATTTTTGTCCAGTTCCCATGGCCAGGCAATCAGATTCACAGTCAGGAAATATGGTCTGGTAGGGTAAAATTAGACCGACACAGAAAACTGAAGTGGCCTTAGGTCTTCAGCTGACTTCACATTGTTCAAGTGAAGTCAAAAACAAGTTCCTCGTCCTTAAGCAAAAAATTTTAGATCTAAACGCCTTCATCTCAGTTGAAGAACTCTTGTGTAGCTGTATGAAATAAATGGGCTGACCACATAACTACTCATCAGCAGTTACGTGTCTGCATCCCCGGTAGTGCCTTCGGAAACAGTTCTCTCTGCAGAGACCAAATGAATCCACCTCCGGTTCCCTTTGTTCTCAGTTTTCAGTGGTTGCAGACACCTCACAGTCTTTGTCTACCAGGAAAATTGAGACAGAGAGAATAGAAATGACTTGTCCGATGCCAACAGGGAATTCAGTCTTGGTTTCTGGACTTCAGGCTAATATCCTTAACACTGCACAGTTCTCTCTCTTTAGATTGTCCACTTGATAGACTTCATTTCACTACTTTGAGGATGATCAAACACTGGAAAAGGCTGCCCAGAGAGGCTGTGGAGACTCCAAAACCCAACTGGACACATTTCTGAGCAGCCTGCTTCAGTTGACCCCACTCTGAGCAGGGTAGGGTGGACTAGATGGTCCCTTCCCACCTCATCCATTCTTTGATTCTGCAATTCCTTTCCTTACGATGCCTCAGCAGATCTGGAAAGGGGTGTCTTGAGGGTCTGTCTGGCAGGTCTGCTGCTGCTTTACACTGTAGTACTGTCAGCCTCCCTCCCGCCCCCAAGTAGTTTGAGCCACTCAGTACTGAAATGCTCACTCAGGATGACTCTTTTGCAATAGGAACGAGGAAATTTCTAAAGTAAACATGCTATGATTTGTTAATGAATTGTGTAACTTCCACTTTATTGCCAGTAAAGTAGGTTTCCTTAAAAAACAATGATGTCATCAGGTTCCCTTTGTAGATTGGTTGGCTATATTAAGAAACAGCAACCTATTCCTTTAAATACTGTGGTCATCATGACAGTCTTTGAAGAGTGGTGGTAGGTTCTCTCTGCAGGGGAACCAGTGACTTAAGGGAGCTGAAGCAGCAACAATATTAAAAGAAACCAATCTAATACTGAACGTCAAGAAAGAGAAGAAGGTTGATGCTGGAAATCATTGTCCTGTAAGTCTGAGAAACTTCTATCTCTTATAAATTAATAGTGAATATACGAGGACTGAGAACACGTTCTTTACTCCCACGTGACAAGAGATGTCTGAGGAAAAGCAGCAGGGACTTACACAGGATAGCTGTCGCCAGCGGTAGAATTCTACTGGCAGACCATGGCAGGAAAAATGTAGTCAATAAAGCCAATTCAGGTAGTTGTTCAGTACACTGTTTTGTACTCCGTCTCACGCACAAAATTAAGTCATTCAATCTAGAAAATGAAATCTGTTATGGACTGAACACTGATCATAAAGAATCTCTGAGATGATAAAGCAGAAATATAGGGCACTGCAGGAGTTTTAGTTACATCCAGACTTGGTTTATACCTTCATTTTTTGATCTGTAATAACAGTCAAGTGCAAGGTACTCACAATTTCAGAATATTCTGATAGCAGAGAAATTAAAAGGGGAAAAAAATAGGGAATGAAGGTAAGACAGGAGTATGGAGAACTGTCTCTGATAGCAGAGAAATTAAAAGGGGAAAAAATAGGAAATGAAGGTAAGACAGGAGTATGGAGAACAAAAAGGAGATAAGAGGAAGAATTCCCAACTATGGGATTTCTCTCCTCTTTTCCTTTTACCCTCCACAAAAGCTTAAAACTAATCAATTTTTCCATTTTGTTCTTCATCTTGGTTTTCAAGGGATGGCTGCACTCAGGAGAAAGCTAACTGTGGTCGGAGACGACCGCTGTGGTAAGACCTGCCTCCTCTTTGCTCTGCATCACCAACAGCTTCCCCAGCCCTACGAGCCAACCCTCTTTGACGCTTACACCGCTGACACGGAGGTAGATGGGAAGGAGATGAAACTAATTCTCTTCGACGTGGCAGGGAAGAACGAATTCAGTTACCGAAATCTCCGCTCTGTGTTCTACAGGGACACCGACGTCATCTTAATGTGCTTCTCCGTGGACAGGCCTGACTCACAGCAAAACATCCTTGATTTTTGGGTTCCCGAAATCAAAATGTTCTGCCCCACTGTACCTATTATTCTGGTGGCTACCAAGATAGAACTAAGGGGCGAGGAAGGTATTAAGAAGAAACTAACTACTCCAGGCAACCAGCCAATTAACGCCACAGAAGGAAAAGCTTTAGCTGCCAGCATTGGGGCATATGCTTACCTGGAGTGTTCTGCCAAGACAAAAGAAGGTGTTGATAGAGCCCTGGAGATAATTAGCCAATGTGCATTAAATGAGAAAAGGAGGAGAAAGAGGCACTACAGGCGCTGCCGAATTTTGTAAGAGGAGTGGACATTATTTTGTTGCTGGATTTCATGACGTGGAAAGGTGAGCAGATGTCTTCGTTGCTGTGCAAGAGTGCTTTAAGGGCTGCTTTTATGTTATAGGAGGAAAAAAAATCCTTTATGTCTGCACAGTGTCACACTTTAAAACTTGGATTTGTTTCCTTCTCCACCTCCAAAACATGCTGCGGAGCACAATTCCAGATTGGCATTGAGTACAGGTCTTAAGAAATGGAACAACCAAACTACATATAGTTCTCCACAGACATTTTTTGGTCAAGGGAGATGCACACAGACTAGGAAAGGATCCTAAACCAGAACTACTGGGACAAGCACAAGAACATGTTTCTCAGTGAATCTAAATCCAGTAAATCTTCCTGGTTGCAAGGCTTAGTGACAAGCAGCTGTGCTGACATGGTTTCCTTGTATGTGCTGCCTTCCATACACTTCCTTGAAGGATGTCCTTAGGGAAGGGTGTCATCACACACGTATCCAATAGTCTGCTGTACTAATAGCAGTGGGTTTCCGACTGGCAGAACAGGTCTGACTTTCTCTAAGATTCATTCATAGAGCTGGGCTGGGCTTGGCTCCATAAATGCATCAGGAATGCAATGTATAGCATAGGGTACAGTGAAGGCAGTGCTATCTCCACCTCTTCCTCATGTAGAATTAAATAAACTGGAGTAAAACAGTCCTGCTCTGGGGTAGAATAATCCAGTTCTTGATAGAATGCCTACCTTACAGGGAGAGAAGTAAAAAGACCAGACTTCAGTTTCTAAAGCTCTTTGTTCTTATGATCTGAATGTATCTTAATTTTTCTGTCTTTCCTTAGCACTTGCAGGCAGAAGATGTGAAGTAAAGGGAATGCCAACAGCCATTCTCTCAGCTTTGCAAGTCATTATCAATCTGGAAAGAGACTGAAACATGCTGTCAACCTGAGCAGAAAATCTCAGAGAGGCACAGAGATGGACCAAAATGGCAAGGCGTTGGGTGCATCTCCATACTCCTCCCTCCTCTAAAGCACTGGTTGCTGGCAGCCCAAGGAACTGAGTTATGGACTGACATTAAAGGCACAATGCTGAGAGTGGGCAAATAATGTGACTGCAGGATTTGAAGGCACATGCAGTAACACAGTAAGTGGGCAGAAAAATGGTTTAAGGTAAACTCCTTCTGGCCCTATAGCGAAGGTACGAGGCTAATTGAGTGTAACTGTCATGAACTAGGAGAACATGGAAGTCTACCTCTTTCTTTTGCTGACTTCCTCGGTGGTGGTTTCATCACTCTGGCAGCTTGGTTACAGTTTCCCAGGGGGAAACAAAACAAGAGTAAACACAAATTTCTAAACCGATTATGCCACCTGGAGCTGTACACTTAGCAAACTAGCTTTTCCAGGTGAGAGACCTAATAAAATACACACCTAAGATTATTTTCTTACCCGTTCTTCCCACCAGTATTTGTCTATTGATGGTATCACGGGTAGAAATACTTGGGGTTAGCCAAGTATTCATTATTGCTGCTTTCCCTCTACATCACTTTTTAGTAGCCGTTTTGAAGTCTGCAATCACGCTGTGGCATAATAACAAATGCTTTAAGGATGACACTTTACATTTCCAACCGTACCTTTCTTCCAAGAATCTCTGAGCACTTTTCAACACGAATTACCAGCCCACCTCTTGGTGATAAGTAGGTGCTATTTCCATTTTCAAAACCGAGAAACTTAAACTGCTGCCTAAAGTAACTGTGAGCCATCTACTTCTTGGAGCTTTCTTTTTCTTGACTTGCTTTCCTTGCGCTTTCCCTTTTCCCTCCTGGACCATTCTTAACCTCAATTTCCTCTCCTCTCTGTCTGTAATAATCCCCTCAGCGCTACCTGATATTGTACCCAAACTTTAAAACTCTTCTCCCCATGGAACTGGGATGTGAACGTGTGCCGTGCCTAAGAGCTCTCCTGCTTCAGGTAATAACATACATTAGTACATTTCAAAGAGCTGTATTTATGTAGATAGGTTTAAATTGTTATTTCCATTTTATATGTGTGTGTGGGTGGGTGGGGAGGATTGGACTGCAGATAAGTTAAAGAACACAGGTGTCTCAGGTGCCTCTGATGTGGGGTATTTAGTTTTTTGGTTTTTTTATCAGAGTTAGGTCGATGGTTGGACTAGATGATCTTAAAGGTCCCTTCCAACCTAGACAATTCTATGATTCTATGACTGGATTGGAGAGAGGCAGTTTTGCAGAGATCCTAAGCACTTACTGTTACCACTACTTGGAAATTGAGACCATTTTGGCAAATCCGAGCTTATGCTGCATGTTGCTTAGTAGTCAGCGTATTGACTGGCATCTGTTTTCAGTCTAAATAAGCAAGTGTTTTCCTCCAGAAGGGAGCTTTGTTCAAGATAAGGGTAACTGGTTTCACTCCCAGTATCTCTGAAATAAACTGTTGTTACACTCATCGTACTTCCTGTTTCTTAACATTAACATTTTTATTGTTTTTATGTGAAGTAAGAGGTTGGCAATATGTTTCCACTGTATACTCCTCTGCAACTGGGAAAGAGAAATCCGTGGGAGATTCTTCATCATCCTTTTGCTAAAGCTGTATAAATTCTATTTTTTTGCCACTTCTGTCAAAAACCCCAAATGTTCCTCCTCTCTATCTGTCTCAGAGCACTTTTGCAAGAGCAGGTTACCATGTGACTGTTCAAGAAATCTGTTGGACAGTTGTCCATGTTTTAGGGCATCTGGCTCCCATGAGAAATCTCAATAGTTGCCTTTTTTTTGTGTGTGTGTGTGTGTGTGTATTTTAGCATTGGCCTGTGATTCAGCAAGAAGGGGATATCATAGAATCATAGAATGGTTTGGGTTGGAAGGGACTTTAAAAATCATGGAGTTCCAACCCCTCTGCTGTGAGCCAGGACACCCCCTTACTAGAGCAGGTTGCTCAAAGCCCCATCCAGCCTGGCCTTGAACACTTCCAGGGATGGGGCATCCACAGCTTCTCTGGGCAACCTGTTCTAGTGTCTCACCACCCTCACAGTGAAGAATTTCTTCCTAATATCTAATCTAAATCTCCCCTCTTGCAGTTTAAAACAGTTACCCCTTGTCCTGTATAGTCAGGATATTAGTCTAAGACATCTGGGGTTGCTTCTCTCCTCCTCCACAAGCTCCGGGCTGTAGGACCGTACAGAAGAAGACTCTGCACATCTGCACTGCCAAGTGGCTGGAAGGAGGCATCCCTCCATAGCAGTGTGGAGTCTGGTGGGGGCTGGTTCATCCTTCCCATCCAGGACTGTGCCTTCAGGAGCCTCTGCAGCCTGGGGCGCACATACAACCCCCTCCAGCTGGTGTTAGGCTTCCTGCCCCCGGGCCTGCTGGGGTGGTGGTTGTGCTCATGGACGCGAGGAGCTCAGCTCTCAGCCCTGGGAGAGCTGGAAAGTCTGCGTGAGGCTGACGCTGGGAAAGTGATACATGCTGGCCCGGTTTGAGGTAAAACCGGATCAATTTTGTGTTCTGTAACTTTGCATTTTAGTTAGGCCTTTTCTAACTCTCTGAAATTAACGGCATATTGTGGAGAAAACTGTTCCTTCTCAGAGTGATAAGACCAATGTTTGTGCTACATGCCAGGGAATGGTGTGCAGAGAGGCCCTTGCTTATACTTATTGCTATAACAACCAAGGTCAGCCAATTTTCATTATTTGCCCCTTAGAGGGTCGGAAACGGAAAAACGTAGAGGGGTCACATGGACAGGATGGACAGGACAGGTGACCCAAACCTGACCAACAGGGGTATTCCATCCCATCTGCCCCATGCTCAGTATAAAAGCTGAGGGATCAAAGGGTCAACTCTCTTCCTGCAATGGCCAACGTCCGAAGAGGACCCTGTCTGTTCATCTGCCTTTGATCCCCATGTGTTCCTGACTCCAGAGCTGGAATCCTGCTCCTGTCCATCACCGAGTCCAGTCTGGGACTTCCCCAGTGCCTGCTGGTGACGGGACTGTCATCCTGGGAGCTTGATACGGTTTTGTATATGTGTTGTCTCTATTTCATTATTTTCTTCTTTTTTATTTTAATATTATTTTTGATTAAAGTAGTTTAGTTAATTCTAAACTTTTCAATCTCCTTATCTCTTCCTCTCCTCTTTCGGGGGGGGGGTTGAAGGGCCATCTGTTGGTTCAGTTGCAGTGATTTCGGCTGAAACCACGACACATGCCCATATTTTAAATCCAGAACAAAAATCAATAGCGGTGAATCCATATAGAAGCAAAATGCCAGCAGTCAATATCCAGGCTAGACTTGAGCCAGGAGTGCTGTCCTCTAATGCAGATCTTTAATCCAGTGTTGGAGGGGAGAAGAAGGAGAGAGAGAGAGGGAAGGAAAATCACAGACTTCAGTTTTTATGGTTTATTTGGTTTTATTAACCATTTTTTTTATTTTTATGAATGTAAATATTAAATTTGACTTTTTATTAAGGAAAATAAAAAAACAAAGGAAAAAAATACCATGGGAAAGAAGACGGAAATTAAGTGAACATTCACGTATCATTCAACAGGGCCATTTCAAAGATGAAATACCCTGTTTACTCCCCACCACAACAGTTTAAGACAGATGTCCAATTGAAACAGCGGGGGAATTTATACTATATTAGGTGAATGTGATGATATGCATTGCAATTAAATAAGAGCTTCTTTGTGATTTCAATGGAGCAAATATGCAAATAAATTATATTGATGTCTTTCAGTAGAAATAAAGAGAAAGAAAGAACACCAGTACATAACAATAATAAAGCAATATGTGAAAGCAATTTTCCATTTTCAGTGCAAGTATTTCATGCAGTAGCGTAGTAGTAGGCTGCGTGCCTAAGAATGTTCTCAAGGCAAGGTTTGTAGACAAGCTGACTTTGATGGTAAAAAAAGCACAGAAGCTCCTGGGCACTAGGACATCCTAGTCTCCAAACACCTCTTCCATTGCCTGTTTCGTGGCTGGAGTGGGGAGAGGGCGTTATGTCTTCCTTAGCAAGACCATTCTCCATTTTGTATTAGTTTCCTGTCTAAATGTGTCTTCTTTGTGGACAATCTTTCAGTCTATCTGCTAATTCATCTGTTTACTCAAAATTATCATCAGACAGGAGGCATGCTATATTTTATGAAAATAGATCCTCTTAGGCTTTTGTCTCAGTTTTCTTCATAATGTCTTGCCACTTAATCAAATTCATTTTCTGAAATGTGCTGCATCCCTTTTAAATAATTCATCAGCTTAGAGTGTATCTCTGCAATCACTTGGAGAATGGCAAACTGATACAAGAGCCTGTAATTTGTTATTTCATTTTGATGGAATTACAGGGCTGGATCATGGCATTCCTCCACAGCAGCTCAGATTTGCACATGAAAAGGCAGAAGGACTGCAACTTTATTTGCCAAAATGAAATTTTAGGTGTCACTATAAAGACTTGAAAGCTTTTTTGGTCAGCTTCATCGCTGCTAGTGGGCTTCTCCATCACTGAAAATACCGCCACACTGTTGATGTGTTCACATTTCAATCTGCTCAGTCCCCCAAAATGGCTTTATGCCAGCTACCTCCTGTCTCAGGGTGAGAAAGTGTTCTGGGGGAACTTGTCTCAGCACATTTCTTGGGCTGTGCCCGTTGAGGAGATGGACTGGTAGAGGAACATCCGATTCGTGAATCACAGTAGTGACTGGTTTCTGAGCAGTTTGGTGCCCTTGGGAGCAACTTTGGCAGCTCAGGTGTGTCTGGACCAAGCGGTGTCACAAGGTGGTGTCACAGGGTGGTGTCATGGTTTAGCCCCAGCACTACGTACCACACAGCCTCACTCCTCCTGCTCTGCTGGGATGGGGAGCAGAATTGGAAGAAAAAGGCAAAATGCATGGGTTAGATAAAGACAGTTTAATAGGACAACAAAGGAAGAGAAAAAAACAATAACAATAATACTAATAAAATAATGTACAAAGCGAGTGATGCACAATGCAATTTTTCTCACCACCCGGAGCAGTGACTCTCGCCCCCTTGTCAACTCCCCCCGTTATACACTGAGCATGACTTCATATGGTGTGGAACACCCCTTTGGCTCACTTGGGTCATCTGTCCTGGATGTGTCCCCTCCCAGCTTCTTATGAAAATTAATTCTGTCCCAGCCAAAACCACCCCTTATTCCATACCATCTACGTCATGCCCAGATCCTACATTTTCCAATTAATCACCACTTTTCCTGTCTTTGAGATACATATACAGAATCACAGAATCACAGAATCTTCTAGGTTGGAAGGGACCTTAAAGATCATCTTGTCCAACCGTCAACCTAACTGACAAAAATAGACACCCACACAACAAACAAGGAGCATCATCACTAAACCATACCTCCCAGCACTACATCAACCCGTCTTTTGAACACCTCCAGGGATGGTGCCTCAACCACCTCCCTGGGCAGCCCATTCCAATGACTGATAACCCTTTCTGTGAAAAAATTTCTCCTAATATCCAATCTATATACGCACAGATATCATTCCCTTAGCCTATGGGCCACCCCTCCCTCTGAAATGTCTGTTGAGTTCATTTAATCCATGACTTTTTAATCCACCGTGGGAGGACACCTTGGGGTTTTCCCCCTGGTGCCTGGCCCCCAGGCTCTGCCCGTCGCTGACCCCCGTCTGCCACCCCTTACTCCTGGAAGGAGGTGAGATGTGGCTTGTTTAAAGCCTGTGGCAGGGTAAGTCTAAATAAATATTTATCGGCAGCCAAACGCAGGAGAGAGAAAGCTAATAAAAATGCATCTTTTGGAAGGCTCCCTCTCCACTGGTTTTCTGCAGGAAGGTAAATTTAAATTAATGTTGCACTAAAGCACTGCTTTGCTATTAAAAATGATGAATGGGTGCAGGTACGCTGCCAGTGACCTGCTGTAAACATGGTATATGCTGCATTAGTCGTAAATTGCCAACAGATGATGGTGCTCTGAAATACAATGGAGGCTTTTGCTCCTCTTCATCCCAGTCTCGTTGGAAAGGGCACACTGGCCTCTCCCCTAACGACTGGAGCTCAAGGCCCACTGGACTCATCAACCCTTGCTGCGTTTGTCAGAGCATCACCATGGTCCCCTTCGCTGGGCCAATGCTTCAGCCTTGAGCAGGAGCCACAGAGGGAAAGCTGGGGGCTCGGGAGTGAGCAGCATCCAACATCTCAAAACCAAACTTGTTATTTCCCTCTGCTGCTACCCAGACACCTGGGTTCCCATTGAGAGACAGACTTGGCTTTATAATTAGATGGGTACAGAAAAGTCTCGTGGCAACACCTATCAGGCTTTATTTTTTTGCCCACAGTTCTGTGATGATAGCCACCTGGATCAAGAGATGGGATCGCAAACTCAGCACCACCTTTTCGTTCTGTGTTCGTTCAGTGCCTAACATGAGGGGCTGAACCCCTCCAGAGGAGGAGGAGGAGCAGCTCCTGGTG